CTATCATAAAAGTTTGTGGACTAACAATGAAGATCGGAGGAGGGTCATTCCAATCGTCTTATCTTCTACATACAATGCATATATTTATATTTGGCATGGCAGTTTATTCATATACAAATCACATTTTGCTACGTTCATAATATTACAAAATAGTTTTTTCTTTTCTTTTCGTTGTATTATTTAAGTCTCTGCTTTTACAATTTTAACTTTATACTCTCAATGCAATTATTTAATAATCAAGCATTTTAAAAGAATGACAATTTTTATGCACGATATTTTTCCTATTCACGTATAAATTTGTATGCAAGCAAATCATTGTATGTTTGCTTGTTTCCACAAATTCAATTCTTTTGATCGGCAAAAGAAGTTTCCGCGCATGTACAAATATACGTATAGTCGGTCCGCAAGTCGTGTGGAATGGCCCACGTTATAAGACCATGACATTTTCTTTACTGTTCGTTCGAGACGGAAAGCTATGAAGTAGAAAAAAATCTATAATTTCGTCAACCAAGAAGAAAGTTTACGGGTTATGCAGCTGCTTTGGGAGGATGTTGGACGGGATAACACTGAAATTCTCTGTTTCAGGGAGTACTGATGCTGCAGGACCAATATCGCGCTTTAATGCAGTACAGTATACCGAAAGATTGCCATGTAGATAAACCACCAGCAAAAAATACACAAGATTGGCACTGTGTTAAGGTAAACCTATTTATAAGATTTTATTATTTGTCTAATGTAACTCAAGTATTGCAATGTTATCTTTTCAATCGCAGTGTGGTGCACACAATTTCAAAAGAAGGGAAACATGTTTCAAATGTTCTGCGTCTCGAGCAGAGAGCGAAGAAGGCGGAGAGGGTAGCGATGAAATTAGTCCTCATCCTACAAATACAGTTCTTCTTCGTGGATTGGATGTACTAACGACCGAAGATTCGGTCTTGCAAGCGATGAAAAACCTTTCATCGATGCCGATACGAAGCATTCGTATAGGACGTGATTCTCTTACAAATACATCAAGAGGTGTGTGCTACCTAGAAATGGGCAATGTAGTGGATGCCATGTATTTACATACGGCCCTTACAAAACAGGGATTGGTAGTAGATGGTAGGAAAGTGGAAATTACTTATTGCAAACTTCATCAAATAAATAATACCAACACGTGGAAAGGAAATGACAGCCAGCCACAAAGATATACTTTGGATGATGTTGCTCAATTGGCCGAATATAGTGCCAATTTATATGCAAAGACACCTGCACAGAAAGCTCACTACCTTCAGTATTATACGCAATATTATCAAAATCAAATAATGCAAGGATCTGCAATTACTTTGCCATCTTTAAACCAAACTGATCGAGTGAATGCAGCTGCAGCCGTAGCACAGTCTGCGATACAACAATTACAAGCATCTAGAAAATTAGGGGATTCTGAAGAAATGAAAAATAGACCAACACCGACGGCACCGTCTAGTACTACCTTGGCGAGTGGAAGAGTTCCTGCACATGGTAGCGACGGTAAAATATATTGTAGGTTTTTTAAATCTAATAACATGATTCTAGATAAATTTACTGTAAAATGATTTTTTTAAACATTCATATCTTTTTATAGCTGTGCCAGATGTTAGCACTTATCATTATGATGAGTCATCTGGTTATTACTATGATCCAAGTACGGGATTGTATTATGATCCAAATTCGCAATATTATTATAATAGTCACACCCAGCAATTTCTATACTGGGATGCTGAATCTTTTTCATATCAACCGGCGAAGGTAATTAAAATTTCTATTTCATTATTAACATCAAAGTTTTTGTAACTTTTACTATTAAAGATTTTATATATGCAGACTGCTACAACCGTAACACAAGCAACAGGGACAACATCTAGTGGAACTACAATTACTGCTACAGCAAGTAGTACAGATTCGACAAATACGATTACCAATCAAGCAACAACTTCCTCAGTTACTACCGCGACTCAAGAAACTTCGAAGGAGGATGAAACTAAGAAGAAAGACAGCAAACAAGATAAAGTAAAAGTAGCGAAAAAGATAGCAAAAGATATGGAACGTTGGGCAAAAACCTTGAATCAAAAGAAAGAGAATGCAAAGAGTAATTGGAATTCTGAATTTGCTGGTGGTGATGGCAATCAAGGTGTCGGAAGCGGAGCTGCAGATGCAGGATACGCCATATTGGAAAAGAAATCTCTTGCAAATTCTTATCATGAGGATGAAGATCAAAGCGGAAATAATGGTTTGGTTGCTGCCTATGGTGGTGGTAGTGATACAGAAGAGGAAATAGAGGATGTACAGCAAGAAGAAAGGCAACACACAGATTGGAGTAAATTAGCATGCTTATTGTGTAAACGACAATTCCCAAGTAAAGAAGCATTGCTTCGACACCAACAGTTATCTGATCTTCATAAACAAAATTTGGAAAATTGGTATCAAGTACGTGGTTTAGACCCAAACGATCCACAGCAAAGAAACAATAAATATCGCGACCGCGCCAAAGAAAGAAGAGCAAAATATGGTGAACCAGAACCTCCACAACCAAATAAACTTAAGGAAAAATACTTAAAAACTAGGGTCGAAGAAATATCGGTGTCATATGAAGAACCCACGAGAGCCGGTATTGGTTCAGACAATGTTGGTAATAAACTTTTACAAAAAATGGGATGGAGTGAAGGAATGGGGCTTGGTAAGTCGAACCAAGGTAGGACGAGTATCATTGAAGCTGAAAGAAGGGTTCCTACAGCTGGATTAGGGGCAAAATCATCATCTTATAGTGCGTTACCAGGGGACACATACAAAGATTGCGTAAAGAAAATGATGTACGCGCGTTATCAAGAACTATCTGATACATAATACATTGGATATAGTGAAAATAGATTTTATATATAAATAAGTACTTGTACTCTCAATTTTTCATAGACGAATAGGTATATAATATGCGTATCATCTTAATGTGCTGATTGTTTGCTGGTCGTTCCATTCTTGGGATATATACGGTTTATATTTCTTCTTTTTTCTCCGATTCTGACATTTTCATTTAAAGATGTTTAAGAAATAATGTAAATTAATTATTTTTGTTATTTCATACTTATTCATTGAATCGTAACGTAATTTAACTGATAGATAAAAATACTCCTGAACTTTATTTGCATGATGCTTCTGAAGTTCACATTACAGTCACATGCAATAATATATGCTTGTTAATTTAACAAAAATTAGATACTTAAGGAAGGACATATCCAAGAGTGTATCACAAATACCAGTAACAAAATAATTCACTTACTAAACAATTTTTGTCCAACACTTCATGCACAATATACAATACTTTCTGTACTTTAAAAGGGAAATTCATTGAAACATTATGAAGTATATAAGAAAAATTAAATTATTTCATTCAAATTTCATAATGTTACTTTGAATGAAAATCAATTTACATGCTTATGATCCAGTGAAACTGGTATACTATATATATTTATTATATTATACTAATTTACATTAAATTTCATAATTCCTTTATAATGTAATTATATTAACTTCACATACTTATAAATATATATATATAGTTATATATATATTTATACTTTGTATATATATATATATATACTTATATATATATATATATATATACAAAGATAATTATATATTTATAGTCATACATATATGTCAATTCTTTCTTTTTATTATGATTTATTCTGTATTTTTGGAGATCACACAATTTTCGCTATACATACACATTTCTATAATCATTCGTACACTTTAATCTTATTTTTTTAATCACGTGTTAAACCCATGTAATAAGCAATAGGTTAAAAGGCGATAATAAAAGTACACGCGGCATTATTGCTTGCTATATACTCCTATTCACTTTTAAATAATTGAAGTTTGTTTTTGCCTTATCTTCGTCGTATTTTCCATTTTGTAGTATTGAAATTTTAATATTCGAAGTAGTAAATTTTTGTGGGATTATGTTTCCAAATCTTTTTAACTGTACGAATGTAATTCACCGATTTGTTGTTTACAGTAAAACATGATCTTAGAGTAGAACTATATATTACTTTTTTAAATAGATTTATAATTTTATATATGTTTCCTTTTTTTGAGTTCTTAAAGCATGTATTAATATCTATTGGAACACTTGTATTTACACTTAGACAAGTGAAATATTTTCAATGATCAAAAATTTTTTATTCCATTGCACTAGATATGAGTTAAAAATTTTTTTACATTTCGGTATACATTTTTTTATCACATTATCAATATTCAAAAATTAATTAAGGCTAATACTAGTGGCTCGAATACTATTTGAAATATTTCTATTATGATAATTGTATTTAGTTAGTTTCGAACTTAATATATTTTACGTTTCCACTGATTTGAGTATTAGAAGTAACTGATCTTATTTTAATGATAATAGTATGTTTGTCTTTTTTCAGTCAATATAAATATTATACTTAGAAATATCGAGGCTATTAAACAATTAAATTAATACTAGTGTGTTAGAAAAAGATTTATGTGATTATAATATCAGTTGCTAATACTTCGACATGTAGAGGACATTAATAGAGGAACAAACTATAACCTATTTGTAAAAAGTATCATTGTACTATTAAATCTGCACTTGCTTAAAAAACCAAGATTTCGTGAAATACCGCGTTAATTCAAATAGGAACATAATTAGGAAATATGTTTACATTGTTTTTTGAATACGTTACATAATATTTAGAAAATAAATTATTAATAAAAGTATTACATTTGAAAGAAATTCTAATAATTAAACAATTGAAATTTTAGGAATTGAAAGGAATTTTAATAATACAACAACATTATCATCCCATGTTGATTAATAGTTTGTTTCTCCAATTGCATAGAATTACAATTTATTCTTCCCTAAACATATTATTATATCTTTGGTTTGACACAGTAGAATATCAAAAGATTTATATTCTCAGATTTTTACAGAATTGTGCGAATAAACTATATGATAACATAAAAATGGTATACAAAATAATTTAATGGGTACAGTTATTATAAATATTAGGAGCATATTTCAGAGTCTAACAATTCTATAAATTGTTGCTAACTAGATTATCATAAGAATTATTTTCAGTTCTTTGAGGGAAGTAAATTAAATTGCAGTAAACACTTTTAAACAGAAGATGAAGGAAACTAAACATCTGCTAAAATCCAAGAATATAATGGTCTTAATTGGTGATTAAGAACTGTATATTCTAAATTACTGATTCCATCAATATCATACCTTTGAGCACTGTTCTCAAGATTTTCAAATCTAGAATTGCTTGGAGATTCTTTTTTGTGTAGTAACATGTAATATTGAGCAATATCAGGCCCAAAACGTGTAATCTGAAATTTAATTCAAATATAAAAAATAATTTAACAATATTTCATAATGTCACCATTGGTAATAATCTTAGTTGATAATAAATATTTAACATACTTGAAGACCTTTTGATTGTAGTCGACTGTAAAAATCATCATCTTCTCCACCCCATCCATAGAAAACATTAGAGAATCCATTAACTCTTTCAAACTGTTTTCGAGTTAATGCAATTGCACCACCAAACAAACCACTGTATGGTAAGTTGTAACGGAAAGTATTTACACTTGAACTCATGTGTCTGGGCAATTTAGTGCAGGCATAAATGTTGTCCGGATTCTGAGGTATTAAATCTATGTCTTGAAAGATGAAGCAGTGAAAATCATTCACCTTGGTCGCCTCTGCATATCCAACATTGAAAAGTTTAGCACGATTAAACTCATGTATTGGACTTTGTTCTATCACAAATATTCTATAATCAAGATTTTGAGCTTGCAAGAAGGGATGAATATAATTCATAAAAATAGTGAGCTGTGTTTGACGATTTCTATATGGTAATATAATGGCCACATTGAAAAGAGGGTGACAATTTAGAGGTTTCCACTGTCCTCCAGGTAATATACCCAGACGGCGGGCCATTGCCACGGGATCTTCTCGTGGATGTTCCTCTGGATAAAATAATTGAGATCTTCGCGGATTAATCATGATCGTGCACGAATTATCTCTTGCTGGATAAGATCTTTCCATTTCATCGTAAATATCTTCTGTTTTTATAAAATTGTAATGTGATGCAAATCTTGCTGGGTGTAAGCAATAACCCAAAATCAAAATCGTAATGATAGCGTATGATAATCCTCGTGCATAGTCATAAAAAAAAGCGACAAACATTTTTAAAATATTAATAATACTCCTCATCCTAACCTTTGTTTCAACTTCCAATAAACATTTCATTCAAGCAAGTGCGTTATATTTATATTTAAATTTGTTAGTTTGTTCGATAGGTTCAACATAGTTCAAAGTATTATTTTATAAGTTAAATATGAAACTTGGAGTTAAATAATTTATACAAACGCGCTTTTAAGTACATAAATGCAGGCTAAACTCAATTTTGACAGCAAAGTGAAAACTTACGTTTGCGCAATACGTGAGTAAAACATGGTAGAACCACCGACGAATAGAACACATTATCAACTAAGACTATCGTAAGACCAACAAATCGGTATTTCAGAACGTGTGTAAAATAATGGAAGCGGTGCGTTTTAATGAAAATGAAAGTGGATGTATACAGAAATCTGCATTTTTATTAAGCACAAATCTGATTATAACCTTACATTAATACAATTTCATATCTGAATTGATGCTTATAATTATAGAAGTCTTGTATAACAGTTTGTCATAGTAACTAAAAATTATTAACGTTACAAAGACATTTTACGGCCTTCAATAGATATATCCACAGCTCTTCTAGTTGCTTTTATCCTTTTACTATCCATGTAGTTTTTCATATGCCTTTCAAATCTATTCATTTGTTTCTTCGTGCTCTAAAATATTATATCATTTTAGCCATTAACTTACTTTGAACCATTAACTTACTAAGAACAAAATATAAGATAGTAATATTTACCCTGCTAATATCAATGTCAGATTTCCAATCTGGTCTGATAACATAGTCTTTATTGGAAGGTCTGGGAACTCTAGCTCTTCCAACCCAGCCAGGATCTCCTGGCCTCAATGGCCTAACAAACAAATAATTAATTACATTATCCAAACAAAATTAATTATTCTGATAATAGGAGTTCGAAAAATTCATACTTAGCATCTCCTTTTAAAGCTTTATTAATATCTTGCGATTTCTGAGAAGAACCACCATCATCACATTTTCTTCGCTTTTGTGGTGTCTGTTCTAAATCTCTTTGCATTCTTTCTTCTTTTGATAGAGCTTTAAAATCTGCAGATAAATTAAATATAGGTCTTGCCCATTCATTAATTAATTTCCCTGCTCGCTCTTTATTTTCTTTTGTTTCTTTAGGATGTTTATACAGATACATTACAGCTTTACCAATACCAGATTGTTTTAAAGATGCTTGATCAATTCGTGGAAACTGAAATATATATATTAGATTATTTTATTATATTTTTATATATTTTATACTTATATATAAATATATAAGTGACTAAAGCATGAACTTACTTCCCACAAAAGCTTTAAAAGACTATCCCGAATTTTTAAAGATGGTAAGGACCGATCAGGCATCGGAGCCAACCAATCCGTTAAAACTGATAATACATTATGCTCCAAAAAGGCCAATTGAAGATCGTGTTTTTTAAGTTGTGATAATACTTTAGGTAACATTGCAATTTTATTAGTAGCTGGTTTGTTTTGTTGATTTAATTTTCTATCTTCCTCTGATGCAGATTTCATATCAGATAACAATTGAGCTATGATATCATCATTATCGTTAATTATATCAATATCCTTTCTTTTGCGTCTTCGTGATTGTTCTTCTTTCTTACGAGCCATCATACGATCAAAATCCGATAACGAATCATCTCTGAAAATTAGTACATTTATCGTTAATTTTAATTATAATGAATTACAAAATTCTTTAATGAAGCTTTTTTTATGAACTGTTGCTTCATTTTAATTCTTAATCTATTATTATATATTGTTACTTACAAATATCTGCTACTCCTGATAAGCATACGTTAAATATTATATACATTAAATTTTTATTACACATATAACTTTTAAAATGCATAAAATCTAATTTACTTACAATCCTCTATCCGCAATCATTCCATCGTCAGAATCTTCATTTTCTTGTTGCTCATTAGCTGTATTATCTACAAATTGTTTGTTCTCTGCTTCTTCATCACCTTCCTCCTCTTGTTCATGACCCTCTTTTTTCATCTTCGTTAGTTCATCGTCTCCTTCATTTTCCGAATCTACTATTTCATGTTTTGATTTCTTTGTTGCTTTAACACCATCCTCTTCTTCCTCAGAATCGGATAAAACTCTATTTCTCTTTCTAACAGCACCTCCTGAATCTTCACTTCGACTTCTTGATCTCCTAGACTTTGATGCTGAACGAGATCTTGATCTTGATTTAGATCGAGATGAATGTCTAGATCTGGCAGCTGACACTGACCTTGATCGCGAGCGTGATGGTGAACGCGATCTTGAACGTGATCTTGAACGTGATCTTGAACGTGATCTTGATGGTGAACCTGAAGCGGATCTTGAGGGAGATTTTGACTTTGATCGAGATCTCGATTTTGAACGCGATCCAGAACGCGATCTAGAAATAGATGCTTTTGAGCTGGAGCGAGATGACCTAGAACTAGACCTTGACCGAGAACTTCTCCTTGAAGCTGGAGACTGTGATCCTTTGCGTGATCCAGACACTGATCTGGACTTCGATCTTGATTTTGACCTTGACATTGATTTTCTTGACCCAGATCGCGAACGTGATCTAGACTTTGATGCGTGTCTCGAACCTGATGGTGTCCTTGACTTTGAACGTGACACTTTAGGTTCCGCTGAAGATGATCTGGATAACGATCCTTTTGGAGACATTGTAGGTGACTGTTTCCTTGATCCAGAGTCTGATTTAGATCGTGATCGAGATCGAGATTTACGTTTGCCATCTGGAGACGTCGTAAGAGATTTTGAACGTGTACTATTGTGCGAATTAGGAGAATCTTTTCTTGATCTTTCTATCGATTGAGATTTTGATCTAAAATGTGATCGAGAATTTCTAATAGGCGATGGTGAGTGTTTTCCTTCCAAAGATGGGGAAAGTGATGCTTTTTTTTCACGAGATCTAGATCTACTACGTGATTTTCGACTCGGACTATTGGAAAGGGACCGAGATTTTACCGAATTTGATCGAGATCGGGATCTAACAACTGCTTTCGGAGATCTAGAAGGGGAACGGGATGGTGATCGAGAATTCGCTTTATACGGTGTAGGAGATCTAGAACAGGAACGAGAATTCACTTTTGGGGAAGAACACTTAGACGGTGGGTTACTTCGTTTAGTCGACGTCGATCTGGACCTGGATCTAGATCGCGAATATTCTCGTGATGCTAAATCAAGACTTCTTCTAGATTCTGCCAAAGAAGAACTCCTTGATCTTGACCGGGATTTTGCTGAATGTATCGAACGTGGTGATTGTGATTCGCTTTGAGTAACTTTTCCATCTATTTCTGGTGATGGAGATTTAGAAGGCGATCTGGAATTACTTTTTCTTCCAACAGACTTTGAACTAGATCTAGATGATCTTTGATTTTTAACAGAAGACGGTGAGATCGATTGGTTCCTAGAAGGCGAACGCGAAGGTGATCGTGAAGGCGATCTAGAATACGATTTCCTAGAGTTAGCGTTAGAAATCACAGAAGCTGGCGATCTTGGTTGGGCAGGCGACGATTGATTAGATCTAAAAGAAAATCTTAAATGTTGTTATGTACTACAAGTAATATTTTAGAATTATTTAGATAGATACGAATGTAAAACCTTGGAGAACGGCTGGCAGAATTTGATTTAGATCTACTTCTAACAGATCTTTGGGAATCCACCGATGAACTTCTAGATTTCTCTCCTTCATCTTCGGACTCGCTTCTTTCTTCTGAAATAAGTAACCGCTATATTACAAAGGTTCAAAAACGCAAGCAATATTCCTTATCATATGCATATTAAAAAAGTTTAATTTTAGTAATATTAACTATAATTTAAATTTATCTTTTATTTTTTAGTAATTACTTTTTCCGTTAATCGTGTTTAGGTTAGGGGTCGTGTTTAGAAAAATTTATGCCATTTCACTTACCTTTGCGATTCATTGTACTTATATACAAATAAAAATGGTTACTTTGTCAATAATTATTATTAAACACTTCTTTCTCCGAAACAATGATGTACGTATTTTTCATAAAGGTCCTGCTAAATCAAAAAATAGTTTCTTGTTTTTAACAATAAATCAGAACTGACATACATATTCAAGAAATACATTTACAATGGAATAATTTAGGAAATATAGACAAATCGTCTAAGGTACGCGTGAATAGCCACTTTGGTTTGACTTTCTTGTTAGGTTAAGGTTAGATATTTAGATTGAACTAAACTCTAACACTAAAAAGCTCCTTAAATCGAATCTAACCTTTAATACTTCAATACGACCATAGACAAGCTCTAAGTATGTATATATACATATGTATTAAAATAGTTTTATGACGAAATTGTTAAACATATGTAATACTTTTATTATATTATAAATTATTGCAAAAGGCATTATTAGTAAATAGGATTGATTTGCGGATTGAAATGTGTTCAACTTTAAATGGATGAGAATATAATTTGAATGAAGTTTAACGTAATTTTACTGCGACATTGCTTTCTATCGTGCGTATATTCGATGGTTTGGTCGAAATTGTCCGAAGATTGTCGAGCTTCATCGAATATGCTTAAAGAACAAAATGGCGGCTGTGGCAAAGTTTTCGCCGCCCGTATGAGAAATTCGCATTCATCAAGATTGAATAGTTCACGGTAAACGTTAATCGTCTAGCAACCCTGTCTGGGTTATGTAGCTAAGACCGCGAGTGAAAATTCGTTGGTGTCGTAGTACGTCGAGACAGCCCGATGCAGGTCGCGCGCAATTCTCGTAACTCAAATCATGACTTCGATGCTATCCAGCTTTAACCCGCCTATCGTTAAACGATTGTTGGGTTGGAAAAAAGCAGAAGGAGAAGACAAATGGAGTGAAAAAGCTGTTAAAAGTCTGGTTAAAAAGTTAAAAAAATCCACCGGCCTCGACGAACTCGAGAAGGCCATTACTACGCAAAGTTGCAACACTAAGTGCATTACTATACCGAGGTACGCTTATTTACTTTATATGCTTTTGCGTGTATATAAATATTGCAACCGATGGAATTATACCTTTTTTCACTATCGTTCATTCATTTTTGTATCTATTTCATGGTACGTACGATGTCAGCGTAAGGTATTCGGGTATTGGATTTATTTGTATCATCTGCATTGAAACTCGGAGAAATAGAAAGCGTTCGCGTGTGCACTTCGCCGTTCATATTTACGTATCATGTATTCGTACGTATGTCACATTGTATGTCCACTGACAGCTCTTTTTACTGTTGACCAATATAAACAAAAGATCCATTCCACTCTTTTTAATAGATTTATCGAGTTCGGTATTTTAATAATCTTCACCTGATAATTGTATCGTGCCAAGTGTTTCCACTGTAGTATCATAATTTCGATCGTGATTGTGGTTAAGACACGCATAGCCGTACGTTTGTTGGTCATTACAGTATTTAAATATTGAACAGAGCTGTGCTTTAAATTTCTTAAAATTCTTAGTCGAGTTCACATAGTTTGATACGTATTCGTTATTGATACAGTTTGGGATAAACAAAACTTGAGAAGTTTTCCATTTGGAATTGTATCATCGGTTGCTAATATTATCTCCGAAATTCTAATACATGTCATTCTTTCAGAGAGATTCGGTTTCTCCGTTATCACTTTTAGAGTTAGCCGATCTAAAATCGCGCGAGTGCTTGCCTACGAGTACGTTCTATTTTCATATGTTAGAGAGTTCGCTAAGCATTCTATAACATTTCTTTTTTTCTTTTTTTTTTTTCTTTCTTTCTTTCAGTAAAAACCTGAAAGGCTGTTTTCAATCTAGTTTCTATACGGATCTCAAATAATCGTTACACGTACATTTCCTGACACGTTGTGTATTAATTATCACATACATACACGATAAATTCAACACGATACTAATGTTATAACGCACGGTTACATATTTGTTTATTTTTTGTAGGTACGATACGATACGATAGCCCATACGATAGTTGTACGTGTCGATTGTACATCGTTATCTTAGTAGTTATGTAATAATTTTAACGAAGATGCGATCGCAAACAAATAAGTAGACGGGGAACCATGCGTAACAATGTCCGATACGGAAAACGATGCAAATGAGATTTATTTCGGTAGCGTTTCTCGTTTTCCGTTTCCAATCAAAATAAGCGGCGATGAACGCACGCAGCATCCGTTCCGATTGAAATGTGCGTTATGAATGAAACTCACGTGTGAGTCACGTTGCTGTTCGGTATCCATCCTTTTACGCTAGAATTTTCTTTGTCATTACGATTGTCTTATTTTTCGTTTAGTAACCAGTGGTACCAGAAGCTCGCATATTCTCAATAGGTGTAATACTTACATTGTACGTATCGTCATTTGCGTTTTTTCGCAAGCGGATGTGCTTCAACTATATTAATAACACGTACTGTGTGTTTTAGCGAATACTGGATACCGCGACAGGATTAGACAGTTGCTGCTAATGACGGTCGATGATAATTAGAACCGTTTAATAACACGAACGTGATCTACGATACGATGGCTCGTCGTGATACTCTTGTGACATAATTTTTGCTCCAAGTATATTCCACGCGCTGTCTGTTAATATTTATCCGACAGTATACGATAGGATAAATATCGATAACCTAGCCAGGATACGCTGGTTCTAGTTAGTGTGCGTGAATAAATCGTATATCGAAATCGATCGTAGCTCGGCGCGCAGCTCGTAACGACTTTATTAATAGTAATCCTAGCCACGTTGTCGCGCGTTCAAGGATATTCGGAGAAGAGAGGGAAAGTCTGTCATCGAGAAAGGCAGATCCTTTTGTAACTCGAACGAACCGCGTTTGCTTCGCGGTTTCGTTCGCTTCGCTTTGCATTACGTTTCCCGTTTCCCGACGACGCGTCTCATCGCGTCAGGGAATCTCTGTCTGTTGCAGTTTTTCGATCGATCGAGATCGCACACCGTGCGATCGCATGATACGCGCCCGGAAATTCGATTTCGCTCGGTTATCTGACGCTCCGCACAACGTCGCGCCTCGATTAAATAACCATCTACCTGGAGAATACTCGGTCATTAGCTAATGTTTGACTTTGCGCCGCGATTTGCTCGCGCGCACGCTTACAGCAGGTAATTCCTATTCGAGGGAATTACATTCTTGCTCGTCGCGCGCACACGCCGAGCCGAGTTGTTCCGATGTTACGAAGTACATGTTCTTCTGTTTTTCTATTGACTGTAAAGGTACGCTAGATTGGTAGCTTTACCAGCCACGCTGTTGCGTTATCACAACTTTTTTAACCATCATACCTTTTTTTCTAGACATGAATTTTCGCGTTGTTGGATCGATCGACCACGAGGTATTTATTTAACCGTAGGTAGCCACACACACACACACACGCACGCGCACACACACACACACACACCACACACACACGTGGTAGAATTTCATTTATCCGTAATAGTTGGAAGACAAATAATTGAAACAACTCAAGTTCGAATAACGATAGTTGATCGGTTTTTCTATTACCGTTTACTACGATAAAAAAGTTAAGTTGTCTTCAAATAAACGGAGTTCTGCCGTATATGATAGGTTGAAAGACAGAAGGAAAATCAAATATCGCGTATCATCGTCGGACGAAAGTTTTGCTATCGTTGTTTCTTCTTTATCTGTCTGAGAAAACAAGAGCTTTGTCCGTTTCTTGCCGAACCGTAACTTTTTCGATTATATCACAGCGTGAACGAACAGGCGAATCTCGTACGTAGCATTCTTCTTGGTAGGTAGAATCTGATCGAAACGTCCTATTTACATTATGGAATCGCACGCATTATCGACGATACTCTCCTTGCCAGTACCTAGATTAATCATTGTTTACGTAACGAAATCGATACAGCGAGGGGTATTTACGTAAAAAATGAATGACACAGATTTCGTAGTAGTTGATCTTTATTTGGTCGAAAGAAAAGCACGACTCGTAGCAGGAATTACGTAAGTTCGTATAACGTCGTTCGTCGATTCGCGTTGATTCTCGTTTACCTGCCGAACGCGTTCGTAAGACCTACGAACCTGCGACGTGATAATTTTTCAATAACCTTGTAGCTTTCGTACGATCTTTATCATCGTTTCGATCTCCAGCGAAATACATGGAGAATAGGTATATAGAAAAATGGAAATTATTCCGTGAACCAGCGTGCAAATGCGTTTCGTTCCGAGAAGCATTCTGGTTATCCTTGTAACTCGTTGTTGCGCGTATGCATCCAAGAACGGAATCAGAGTAGCTTCGTTCCAGATGATATAATCTATCTCGTTGCTTTCGTTGGCTGGCTTTATCGAAATAGCTTCTTTCCCGCAATTTCTCTCGGCTCTTTTTCTCATTCCATTATTTCGTCGAAGCGAAATTCGTCGTCGCGTTATCGATACGAGTAATCAGAAATTTCTGACGAGACCGCGTTCCCTTACGTCCCGTTGATCCGATCTCGTCGATTCTATCGCGTTTATTCTATCTACGTAGATGAAATTACTCGATAGACGACTAGTTGCTTTTCGTCTGATAATCGAACGTAAATTTGCCGGTTTATCGACGAGTTTGCTCTGCCCCTATCGAGGCCAGCGAAACTTTTAGCCGCTCGAAGTACTTTCGCGTTCTCGCAAATGTGGCGACTGTCCATGCGTCGTGAATTTGTTTTTGTTCGGATATACCTAAAGAGGTATAAGGTCGAAAAATAGTGGAACACGCAGGATCTCTTCTATCTGTTTTATGTGTTTTTATGCTCGCGTGAATGCGTGCGTGCACGCGCGTGTAAATGGAGCAGAGACGAGCCGGGCTATACAGTGACTCACGAAAGTATTCGAACGTTGATCGTTAAAGCTCGTAACGATTAGAGCGTGCACGTTACTCTTAAGACCCGAAAAACAATGTTATAACTGCTGTAAGATACAAATATCAATTACCGTAGGACGGCGTTTGTAGAGATGTTACGAAGCATTTATTGCAACGATGCGCAAAAACAAGGTCCGGGAAGTGATCGAACGTGTAAATGTTAAGCGAGTTAAAGTTTGCATGCATTTCTGTGCACACGGTGGAAATGTTGGTCGACTCAACCGTAGAAATATCGTGTACCGAGCTTCGTGTTTCGCTGAGAATAATATTGGCTTGCATGCTGACAAGGAGTTACAAAAGATCGGAAACACGGATATTCGAGAGGGAATCGATATTAAAACCGAGATAGATAAAGCGAGTACGCAAAGATGGGAATATAGGCAGATCGACAAATTATTAGATAGATATGCGTTTACGATACGTTGTATTTTCGAAAAATCCAAAGAAACCGAGGAAATAGTCGCGAACAGACACCGCGCAGACGGGCCGGAAAAGCTAACCGTTAGAGAGGAAAAAAATGATTATACGCGAAATAAAAAAGGATCGAAGTATCTCGCGCGACGATACTACTTCGGAAAGAACGTTCATGCGGAATTATGTCACAGGATTTTGCGAAACAACGATTTCCATGTTAGTATTCCAAGAAAAAAATCATCCATCGATGAAACGTATCGAGCCAGACGTTTAAGATTCGCAAAGGAATTCATAAGTAAAGCGCATATCATAGAAGCAGTAATCGAAGCCAAAGGAGGCGCAACTAAACATTAACGTAAAATAAGGTAGGTATAATTAATACCGTTCGATTATTTCCGTTACCCTGTTTCTGTATATCGTCGCAACGTTTCGTAACTTGTACGAATGTTATCCGATTCGCTCCAGGTTCTAGGTATATAATTCTCATACTTGTATCTTACAGCAGATACGATACTATTATCAGATCTTAAGATCGACATGCATATTTCGGTCGTTTAAAGATTTAATAGCGGCCGTTCGAATACTTTCGTCAGCCACTGTATATCGCAGCCAGCGCGAATAAGTGCACAGCTCACGTACTGTCTGTTTTCTTTCCTTTCTTCCTTTTAAAAAACGTGGGAGCGCACTCCGTCTGGTTGTCCGTGCAATCGACGATTAAACCCGATTAAGTCGCGCCTCTCGTTTGATGCATACGTGGAAAGAATTTCACGGCGAACGCGACTCTCTGTCCTCGAGTAGGCAATGGTGCGTCAGCAAGATGACTGAAATTGCAGAAGGAACGAGACCACGGATCGCTACGTTCTCCTTATTCTCCAATAGAGAACTTTGCTATTTCGTCTAGCCGCGATTTTGCACTTTTTCGATTTATCCGCTGTTTAAGTTACGCGCGTTCGTTTGTTTTGGCCCGCCACGATCGCCATCACGATCATATCGCCGCTATACAGACAGGCGAGCGGCGCGTTATCGTTGCGATTTCAGTATCGCGGTGATGATGAATCGTTCGACAGATTTATATTTCCCGTAACTCGATATCGAAAATATAAGGCCCGGCCTGGAGTGATGTAACCTCGTCGAGATTTTGTAGCGCCAACGACGTGATTCGGCACCTTCGCTTTCTCAACAGAGTGATCGCGCGCCTCTGTGCGTTGCACCGTTGAAAACGCAATTCCGCGGAATCGCGTAGAGTCGCTGCCGCGAAGTTACAACGACGTTCGTTCGCGTCGGGCCTTATTTTCCCAACGATGCAATCAATCGCAACGGGCGTGCGATCTTGTTATCGAAAAGGTAAAGTTGCCGAATCACACCGCCGCCAGATCGCTGCTACATCGCATTGCTCGCATACGCCTGGCGGGGTCTCCCCCCGCGCCCTAACGATTTCCCTCTTTATCTCTGTTAACGATCCGAGAATTATCGAGAACCAATCTCAGAACGGTTATTAATCGGCGTAGCTATCGGCCGATCGGGCAATTGGTTCATCGACGTATCGACAAGAAATTTCGGTGTAGATGCGGTACGCGATGGCTCGTGCGGCCACCTTTCGAAGCGGTCGATAAAAGCCGCGCGCGCGTCACTACGAACGGATCGTCGAGACATTCGAGTTACTCGATATTGCTGGAGAATCGGCGATATTGTTGTTCCCGTGTTTCTATTGACGTTACGTAACAACTGGATACAGTAGACTGGGAGGTCGGGGGGAGGCGCACGATCGCGTATACTCGCGGTATCATAGGAGACGTTTCCTCGAATACCTCCGTAAAGGCATCCGCGATGATTCCGCTCTTCTTCTCTTTCCCCCATGCAAGCTGCTTCGAGGAAGTTTGTACGGCTCGGAATGATTTGTATTTTCCGAAGAACGCAAATCACGTCGAAACATCGTATATACAAAGATACGCCGTATAAGATGCCCGTTCCGTGGTCGTTTCGCTTTAAAAATCGTTTCGGACGTTTATTACGTTCCGTTTAGGCGTGCCGTTTATTTGTCATCGAGATGACGATGAGATCATCGTCGATGAAATGCGAAACTCCGTTCTGTTCGAACGTTTGGTCGCGTAGTCTCGTCCCGCATCTTCGGAAACTATACTTTCTCCTATGGCAACTCGATAAGCTCGGCTGGATCGCAGCGATAATACTTGACGCGCGAATTCAGGCCTGAAATTGAGATCGAGATCGCGCAGGAAACTACCATATAAATTCCGTGCCAGCGTTTCTGAATTATTATGTAACGAAGAGTAGTGTCGAGCGATTCCAATTGAGGGTCACACGCACGTACGCTATACACGACGAACGGATAGATAGGCAGAGAAAGCGAGCGAGATCGGGGGACAGAGAAGAGGAGGAAGGAGGAGGATCGTGGAGACGAACCGAGAGGAAAAGCAGATTCAATACATGCAACGATTTTTGAATCTGCTTTTTGAATCTGTAACGATATACGTACGGCGAATTCGTTTTAATTTTCCGATTAACCGCGCGTCTTACGAATTTTTTAGCAGCCGTTTAAACGAATATTTGTCATTTTCTCGCAACACGGTGCCGGATGAAAAATGTCGAAACGTTACGTGTAATCCTTGCGTCGGTGATCTCGAAGAACCGGTGTCGTTCGACTTGAGGGAAAATTTTCTCACGAATACCGCCCTGTTCTTGCGCAAGCGAAATAATAAATATTTCATCAAATCGGGCAAAGGGTTAATTGCAAGCTTCTTAAAAATCTGCGTCCGAGAGACAGAATCGTAAACGCTAGATAGGCGAAAATTACACGGTTGCTTCCGCCACGATCGTTTGCCTCGCGTTTCCTCCATTCGTCGGCTATGAGTTTCTCCGTTTCCGGTCTCCTGCATCTCCCTCGAGCCAATTCGAGACGGCTAAGCCGATTACGAGAAAGATACAGAGGGAGAGATCGAAAGAAGGAACGATGAGTGGTGATCGACGATCGAGCGAGACGATTCGTTCGGCAAGCTACCCTCGTCGAGAGAGAAACGTTGCAGCGAATGTGCGGCGGCAGTTTCTTTTTGTCGGCAGGCGCCACCGCTTCCGGCGCGGCAGACGCGAACACAGGAGTCTAGAGCGAAAAAGAGAGAGCAAAGGAAGCAGGAGGAAGTTTGCTGGAAGCGTATATACATTAAAGCAAGAGTTTTACGACTCGGTCGGGTGTCGAGCTCTCGCGGCCAGCTTAAGCCTCGATGTTTCGACGATGTTACCCTCTTAGAGGTACGCCGTACCATCTAAAGAAAGTGTCGCGTTGCTAGTCGCGATTCTACTTCCGTAAATCGAGTTACGCGATCGATGTACGTACGATTCGTTCGACTTTGCGCAAAGCTTCTTTTCCCACTGGTCGGTCGCGTGACAAGATTAGCGTACGTACGTAGGTGGCAGGATTCTAAGCCCTTTCGAAAGTTAAAAAAGTAGATACTTAGGAAAGATTTGATTTTATTTCTGTTTCTGGACGCAAGGCCTAGCCCAGGCGGTGTCGGTGACAACGGTGTCCAAGGAGTACGCGGCAAAGGTTTGCCGCACGTGATCTACTGCCGACTTTGGCGCTGGCCAGATTTGCAGTCGCACCACGAACTAAGGGCAATCGAGCATTGCGAGTACGCGTTCACGCAAAAACGGGACGAAGTCTGCATCAACCCGTATCACTATCAACGAATACAAACACCAGGTACGTAGACGGCACGTTTCAATGACGGCTCCAGTTCCTGTTTATGTTTCTATGTATCTCCCGCGCGATTCGTTCGATATGTTCGGTGTAACATCGACGTCTATCGGTTGTTTGAAATTCTGAAACTTTGGAAGGTTGTTTTTTTCTGTATTCATGCAAACGTTTATCAGCGCACGAAATTTTAGTTTTGCCAGCCATTCTCGTACCACGGCATACCTTGGCCGGGGACGAGTCCGTCCTATACAATACTTCCATCGAGGAGCTCAGTGTCAGCGTGCCAGAAAACACGAGCTTCCACGCGACGTTAAATCATCAGCATCATAATCAACAAAGCATACCGCAGTCACCGCAACAACAGCAGCAACAACAACAGCAACAACCACCGAACAATCCGTATCAAGGGATGCAGGTTGATATCGGATAAAGTTCCGCTTCTTATTTCGATAAATAACGCGTACGAATTTTTTTTGGATAGAAGAGTGTCTTTTTCCTTCTTAGAGTATGCAGGCGACAAGTCCGGCTAGCGTTGGGAGCCTAGGAAGTGTTCAGGGTTCGCCACATCCAGCGCCTGGGTCCATGGATCCTCCTGCCGATACTCCACCTCCGGGATATATAAGCGAAGATGGTGATAACATGGATCACAACGACAACATGTCCTTATCGCGTTTGTCTCCCAGTCCTGTCGACGCACAACCAGTTATGTATTGCGAACCAGCATTTTGGTGAGTGATCGTTCACGGGTTATGCAACATCATGCTCGAACTTCCATGCAAAGTGGATCCAGTTTGACGCATTATCCTTGTCAAGGATCGATTCGAATTGTTCTTTATATCTGATTTCTCTCTTTTCTGTTCCTACAAGGTGTTCGATAAGTTATTACGAGCTGAATACGAGAGTAGGCGAGACCTTTCATGCGTCGCAACCGAGCATAACGGTGGATGGATTCACCGATCCCAGTAACTCCGAACGTTTCTGTTTGGGTTTACTGTCGAACGTTAATCGTAACACCGTGGTTGAACAGACGAGACGACATATCGGGAAAGGAGCTAGATTATACTACATCGGTGGTGAGGTGTTTGCCGAATGTTTATCGGATTCGAGCATTTTTGTTCAGAGTCCTAATTGTAATCAACGTTATGGTTGGCATCCTGCCACCGTTTGTAAAATACCACCCGGTAAGTGCATAATTCGACGTAACACGTTACAGGTTCCCCTGTACTTCTTATATTCTTTTGACTTTAAAACCGAAGCTTATTTTATAGATCTTCTCTCGTTTGATCTTTCCCGCAGGTTGCAATTTGAAGATCTTCAATAACCAAGAATTTGCCGCATTGTTATCGCAATCAGTTTCCCAAGGATTCGAAGCAGTGTACCAGTTGACTCGTATGTGCACGATCAGAATGAGTTTTGTAAAGGGTTGGGGAGCGGCGTATCGTCGGCAAACCGTGACGTCGACTCCTTGTTGGATAGAGTTGCATTTAAACGGTCCGTTACAGTGGCTCGATAGGGTACTCACACAGATGGGATCGCCGCGTTTACCCTGTTCCTCAATGTCATAAGGTTGTATGCTTTTCTCCTTGATGGATGCGGGAAAACAGGGACAATTCGCATGCTGTCATTGTTGTCGTCGTTGTGTACATTGGTTTTTCTTACCGCGGATTTATTGTTTTATCCGAATTCTTTCCAACTACCACCGACCACAGTGATAAACAGTGCAAGAAAAATAGATACGATCACCGTTTTTACGAAGCGTATACGTGTATCCTAGCTTGAAAAGTGCATGGAATACGAGATCGTGTTCGAAGTGCCAGAAAAGCATTCGTTCGGACGAATGAAGATAAAACTGGCGATCGGTTAGTTATAGAAACGCTCAAGTGCTCGAATCGCGTTGCTTCGTCGATGTTTCCTACGAAGAAAAGGAAAGGACGATGTGCGGGCAAATGAGTGAAGATGAGACCGGTTGAAAATATCATTTATACAGCTATCATCGGTACAGAAAACCAATTTTTCAATAAACTGGGACATTACGGTTGAGAATAACAAATAACGAAATAAGTAGATACTATTGACTCACTTACCGCATTGATATGTGGATATAGTGCTTTACGATCCAGGGTTACGAATCCGATTTTAACTGAATTAACAGGGCGAAAACAAGCGCGACTCTGTGTGTGCATGTGTGTATGTACGTATACATATGGGCGTACATTTGTATCCATATATGTAGGTGCATATGTATACGTGCATCGCATTAAAAAAAAGCTCAGTCTTTACATATTTTTATCGCTTGTTAAGTCAATGCACTTCAGTCGTACAGTATACGTCAGCCCTTACAAAATAATACATATTATGTACGTTCACACTGTTTATAGTCTGCTGAGAAGAATTTCTATATAGAGTGGGTAAACGTGTATACCCGTTGAAAAGTTTCTAACAGCACTGGTCTATTTGGAGTCTTTGTCAGTGTTTTTCCTACGAATAAAGCGTTAAAAAAGAAATACACCTGTAAAGTCTATTTCTCTTACACGATAACGATACGGAAGGATTACAGTGTTCAACATGTACGTAACTATTTACACGTTTCATTAACGTTATTACATCCTTGGATGGACCAGAATGTTCAAATATTCTCATAATGGATCGCATCAGGACGGATAGTTATGTTTCTGCGTATTTGGAGGTTTTGCGAATGGTTAGTCAGTTCAGACGAATCATTCGGCACATAATGCGGACAATGTTTTAACAGACATTTCTGGGTCGAAATTGAAAATGTTGTTACGTATTAAGGTGTTTTATCTCGAGTAATTGATATTCTTATTAAGGATAAGCGCTATATTTCTTAACGTTGATAGGAGTACTAAGCGCACGAAGTCTATGGTAGACAGATATATCTATTTACTTGATATCGCATGGAAAAAATTGATCAATACTTCAGAAAATTATGTACGTATATTTACTATCGAGCATCTAAAACTTTATGCGCCACATAGCAAACGTTAACCGTACGAGTGCCACGAATTATCGCAGAAGTTGATCGGCAAGAGCCAATCTTATCCTTTTATCAATCTCTGTTTTACAATTTACAATATCCGTTATTAATTTAGTTGTTTATAATTTAAAATTATTATTGAAGTTTCTGTATTGTAATATTTCTGTATGACAGATGCGATGGCATTTTCCGATATAGCGTGCGAGCAGCGTAATCACGTTGCGTGGCACTTAGAGGGTTAAAAAGCACATTTTGGTGTTGATATTCAGCGTAGCGAATCACTTGTTATTTAAAAATCGTTGCAGGAATGTTGGTTCGTTGTATAGGATCGTAAACGATGTTTTTTTTTTATGGAGAAAACATGTTTTTGCATGCAGAAGATAATCAATCGAAACGATATAATTGAAATGTCTTCTGAAATTTTATACGAAACTAATGAACGTAGGAAAAGCGCATACAGTTTTCGAGGCGATACAAAAGGCACAATAAAATGAAAATTTATAAGGATAAGGAAACTTTATCAAGAGAGAGAGTGCAAGAAAATAATGGTCTGGCCTTGAATGTGAGATGCTTTTAGATATATCGAGCACATTGTTTCTACACTATTTTAAATTCATTTACAAATTGTTTTAGAGTCGAGTGTATTAAAAAGTTTCTATTTTATCGTAGAATTTATAAAATATTTCATATTCGAGACTAACCGAAACAAAAGGAAAACAATTTTTAGAAACATCAACGTCTTTCACGTAGAACATATGAACATAAAAATGAGATAACGAAGTTACGTATTTTATTATATTATGAGATATATATTAATATCGATGTACGAATAGTCTTTGCACCAAGTGCATGGATTCAGTTATCTTCTTCTTCTTTTTTAACGAATAAATTTTTAAAAATAATCTATACACGACTTCTATGGAGTCTTTATGTACGATAGGGGCCAATTGCACGCACAGAATGTGAGATTTGATCTCGACAAAAACGTCAAATCTTATAAGGAATCGGTTCCTTTTTTATATATTTTTTGCCAGCATCGATCATTTTACAATTTTTCTAATTAACTTTTGAAATAGTAGACAATTGGTTTAATCATTAATTCGTGTATAAAACTGTATAAATTTTATCAAGTAGAAAGGAACGATCGAATGTTTCCGTTAATTATTAAGGCAAAGAAAACATTGTCGTGAATAATCGCAAATGCGAAAAATCTATTTTTTTAATAGTGTCTTAATCGTTTTGACGAAGAAACATTATGTGCTAAGTTTTTAATCACTTTAATGAAAAGGCAAGTGATTTTTCATCCATTATAGATACATAATAATTCTCATGAATCGATCGACGTCTTTTGTTCGTATTATGTAGCTGATCACACTGTAATATCCTATATCATTTTTCTAATATTTTATTTTTCTTTTTTTCTTTTTACTGTTTACAGACCTGCCTTTTGTACGTCGTTAGATCAAGAAATACGGCAGTGACGAAGACGATTCGTGAACTTACTGATTACAAATTTTTATCGAATCGATACCATGTTCCAATGATTGTGTTACATTACCAATTCTAGAAGAATATCGAAGGGAGGACGAGCTTGGGCAGTAGCTATGGAAAAGATAGTCAAAAAAACGTGATTTTAAGCGATATAATTTTATTGATTCTTAGGTAGTATTATTAATTGCACAACGTAATAACACGAATACGTTGATCTTTTACAAGGATATTTCCTACTTCTAATCAACATGCATATCTGATGTTTCATCCACGAGGAAAATTTAACGTCGTCGTACGTTCTTCGAAATCATAAAAAAAAAAAAAAAAACGTATACAGACCTCGTGAAAGTCAAACACGACATCGTCGGGCAGCTCGAATAATCGAATAGTAATACAAACGAGAAAGAAAATAACTATATATTAGTAATATATGATGCACACCTACTTGGACTCGTGTTAATTGATATTGTCTCGCGTAAGGAAAAATTAAAATCGTTTGATCGTCGAATACTTAACAACCACTTGCCTCTCTGTCAGACTGCCACTAGTATATTAATTAAGGAAACATGAACAGGGGAATCGAAGAACCCGCCCTCGCCTTTCTTCGTCGTCCTGGAAATCCTACTCGTTCGTTTTACGTTAGCATAAGATCAAAATAAATACATCTATGACGTGAAGAAAGAGACAGACCACTGAAAAACGCGTTTAATTCGCCAAAGTATATTAAGTGTAGCAATTGCCAAAGTTTTTCTTTTCTTTTTGTAAGTACAAGAACGTCGAGTCGACGGCGACTGTAGTAGTCGCGATTCAGATGCGCACGAATTGTTAAATTGTGACGTTCTCGTTTTTCTTTTTCCCTTACAAATTCGTAATTGTTACCATTGTTACCATTGTGTTTCTTTACTTTTATTCTACATATGTTTAGTGTCTTGACCTGCCGAACAATCGAGCGGTCCGACGATTTTATAAATTTTTAATTCTATAGCTACTTATATATTTTGTGTGCTAATAGACGCATGCACACAAAGGGAAGCATCGACTAACGTATAACTTCTACAAATCAGATATTTTTTTACATATTAAAAAGACGTGAAATTTTTTTGCGTGCGATACATTTGATGACGGTTGTTATCGTCGATGTTCCCCTGGTGTGGATGAGATGTTTTACGAGAATACGAGATAAAATCGCGAGCTTGAAAGAACGAGTGCGAGAGTATATAGGTGAGAGACGTCGAGTCGATAAATATCGAGTGTGAGATTGTATGATAATTATAAATAAATGTACACATTAAGTCTAATAAACATGATTCTGTCGCTTTTTATTAATTCATAGTTACGAAGAGACTGTACCTAATGATATCGCCAATGCTACGAATATACCCATAAGTACACGGTAACATTTTGTTTAAGATATTTACGTGTTTAGGAATATTATAAATTTTAGTGCAATTTTGTAGAACCGTAAAGTAGGACTAGGGCATATAAAACATAAATCTACTAATAAAAGTAAATTAACAGTTTTATGGGACAAAAAAATTTGTATCATTTGACTACGATGAAATGAATACAATCTATACAAGTGTACAACATTGCGCTTATATTACTTATAATTACTCATCGGTGTCTGTGACTGAGTAGCAGCAACAATCGCAATAAAACTTCGATAAACCGGTTTCGCGCCATAAAGTAACATGTTTAAAAGCTCTTACGAGTTCTTACAAATCATCCATCCAAAATGATCGAATTGCAAAATTATCGTTTTTCTGTACATGGCATGTTAACTGAATACATAAAGAGTTCCGCAATACGAAACAATTGTCGATTTACATCGCTTATGCGAAATTACATTATACGTTTTACATTTTTATAGTTATCCCTACTTTAAGTCTTTGTTTCTCGTCTGAAGTATTTATTAAAATGTGAAATCGCACGCGTGTTCAATGTAGTTAATGTGTTTCGTTAAAAAAAGATTAACGTTTGCGGGATACGACGCGATAATATAAGACTTCTGATTTCCGCTATATAATACAATCAAGGGAGTTTCTGTAATATTCTAATATTCGGCGAGAATCTTTCATCCCAAACAATTACGCTGTCTTTCCTCTTTTTTCGGATTGATCTGTTGCTGCTGACTTTAATGACAATTTTACGAACGACCATTGTGTTTCGAGGCTAGCAACTTCCTCACAGAAAATACGCTCATAGATAGGCCAATAATTGCAAGCATACATGCTGATGTGGTGGTATGGCGATCGATCGAATTTCTGCGGAACACAGACGAGACAGATCCCTACAACAAACGATCAATTAATTTTCTTTCGTAATGTTAAGGTTCAAACGAATCGAAAAAGGTATAATATTTCAAGATTTGATTTTTCTAGGAGAAGCACAGTAAACGGTATTACATAACATTTACCTTTACATGTCGAAAATACTTTACCTGTTGGAATGATAATCTAAAAGCATAGAGGGTTGCAGGAGTCAGATACATCTTTAAACCACGGCTTTTCTTCGTACTCTAAAAAAAATGTAGAATGCGTAGATCACGTATTTGTTATATAATCTACAAAAAAAAGGCGGGTGTCAAATTTACAGATGGAGAATATGTAACATTGGATCACATCCAAATTGGTTATTGTAAACAATTCGGATTGCGCTGTCAAAAACCACACATTTTTATCATGCCTAGAATTGATCCTCGCATTTGATTTTTATAGAGAATGGTAGCGTCAATGTACAAAATTGTTCATAAAATTATGTTAAAAAAGCTATTTTATTTTTAAAATTATTTCACGCTATATATCATGAATTTTTATTTACTATTTCAATTTTTTTAAATTACGCTAAACAATTTGTTTAATATTTTACTTTTGGAAACTGAGAAGTACACAGGAAATGCAGAATATCAATGATATGAAAGTTGCATTGATAAGTGATCAAGGCATGCTATGTTTCGTCAAAAGAGTACTATGTATTGCGCAAATATCGAGATATCGCTAGTTAACCTTTTCAACATGAAGATTTACGTAAATTCTTTTTTCGATTTCAGGTGACACTTTGTCGAGGTTACCAAGAACCGTAATTATTGATACTCTATATCGCTAAGACATCGACCGTTTGATGTATAACACAAGGTCCATGATATTTTTGTTGGCAAAGCTATTATTATGTTCGTGTATAAAACAACCTTAACGGACACTGTTGGATAAACATGGCTTGGCGCCGTCTAAGATTATAATGTTCTTCTATATTTAAGTATATTTATGTAATAATACATGATATTTTCATTCAATGACAGAAACGTAATAAAATTTTATTTGTTGCAGTTTAATATTTCGAAATGTTATACAGAGTGTACCAGATTTTTCTGAGAAAATTTTGTTAGGACCATGTAGATTTTAAAGAAACAAGCGAGGAAAAATGTCGTAATAAATACACGTTATTCGAAGCATTAAAAAAAGTTATCAAAGTAGAAAATATTCTGACTCAAGGCCTTTGGTATTCAACCACAGTAAAATTTATATAATGCTAAATTTACATAATATGTAGGTAATCAAATTTACGCTTCATTATTATTACTAACTTTATGTTATCATTAATATTCCCATTATACAACATCAAAAACTAGATTTTGTAATACTAGGAAACTATGCACACGTGATATTATAAGCTGGAATACAAAAATGGCGTGTGACGACGCTTACGGCACATTTATGACTCCATTTGTACACGATATCGCATACATCAAATGCATGAAAATAAACAAATACATTTTATAACACAAAATCTATCGTTGATTTAGTGTAATTTAGTTTTTATCTGAACATAAAGTTCAGTTAAAATAAACAGTTTAGTTAATCTTTTATTTGTTTTCATGAAAATGCTATGCGTGGTTAAGTGAATCTATACATTCACAATGAAACGGTTTCCAAGACAAAAATAGAGCGATTGAAGACAAAAGTTTAATGAACACGATTAAAACCATTATTTTTAATTAATGTCGAGACACTGGCACGTTATTTCATTCATTAAACGTAAACGGGAGAAGTTTTTTTATAGGTTATCCGGTGTAAATTAATAAGATGTACGATGTGGAACATTCTTGCATGTTCTCTTACGTAATCAATAACAGTAGCGTTGCATATTCAAATGAAAAAATTCAAGTCTACAACGAATTTTAAGTGAAAATGTATCTTAAATTAACGCACCTACCGTTATATCCAAAACCAGCCGACGAAAGAGAATGATCACTGAACGAGAACGAACCTTCGCCTACAGTTCTTTCGCCGCTGTCGATTTTCGATTTCTAATTTCCGGATAAATGTATCGCGCCATCTTTTGACGTTTCAATATACTTAGTTCATCATTTCAACGCATGGCTGGACAATATACTGTAAGTTGCATTTCCAGAATATGATATAGAAGCTATATATACTTATCATGCGATGGTATCTATAGCTGACACTTTCTAAATTACTAAAGACATAAAAGATGTCACTATATCATACTTTAGCGGTCTGTGCTTTAGCGTAATAAATTAAATGTTTACGTAATATAATAATATTCTTGTATATTCTCGGTATTTAAATTCATTGAATTATATCATTTTACAATAAAATTTCCTGCTCGAAGATGTTCAATATATTTCTAATGACCATGATCGTAACTGAAAATAAAGGCCTTTGTTTAACGCTTACCTTACCGTTGATTAAGACGTAAACTTTGTCAGTAAAAATAGTTACCTAATGACGCATGGTCACTTTATCTCGGAGTCATTTCCGTGGGATGCCACAATATCCTTGTAACTTACCAGTGTAGCCACACCTTGCTCGTTTAAAATTAAAGTGACATTAAGAGAGAAGCTATGACTCGCTGGACGATATTTCTCTTCTGGGTTCAATTCTTCTCGTTGGTGTTTTGCGAATACAAAGATCCGGAAAGCCTTTGCGCGTCTCAACAAACTTGCAAAAATTGTCTACAGATTCCACGATGTGTTTGGTGCTCTACTCCGGTGGTTATCGTTTTTAAATCGTTAAAGAAAAAGTTTCACCGATTCGAAAATAATAAGGAATTTATGGTTAGGTTTCCAATCAAAGCGTGAACAGTCCATTGGTTCGTTGTGTCACGAGAGAAAAATTTTCAAACGAAGGCGATCACTGGTGTCGAACGTCGGACGTAATAGATGAGATGAATCAGATGCTGATACTCGAAGATCGACCGTTGTCTTCGACGAGAGGCACAGATCCAGTTCAAATTCAACCTCAAAGAATTCGCTTGACACTAAGACGAGGAAAGTATAACGTTTAGCATCTACGATTAAGTTATTTCTCTCGGGTAGGAATTTGATTCCAATTGATGCGTCTGATCGAATTTCACAGGCGAGAAATACCGATTGACTTTAAAATATAGCCAGGCAGAGGGTTATCCGGTTGATCTGTATTATCTGATGGACTTATCGGCATCTATGGAGGATTCTAGGAATTTATTGTCAGAATTGGGACATGAATTGGCAGATGCTATGCGAAACTTGACTTCGAACTTTCGACTAGGATTCGGTAGTTTCGTGGACAAAGTTGTATTGCCTATGACTAGTACGCAACCGGAGAAGTATCTTGAAACTTTGACTATTTTTGTTCTGTCGATATCGCTACGCTTTCCTGATCCGTAATTTTCTTGCAGATTAAAATCGCCGTGTACTTTGAAAACAGGAAAGCCATGCGCAGCGCCGTACGATTATAAGCATCAAATGCCTCTTAGCGAGAACATTGATCTTTTCAAAGTTCGTTTCAAAAGTAGTTTCGCCGTATCATTTGTCTCGCGCGTTACTTTCTAACCTCTTGATGCTGATCGATTGCTTTTTGACATAGACTCGCGTACGAGAAGCACCGGTGTCTGGTAACTTGGACGCGCCCGAGGGTGGTCTCGATGCGATGATGCAAGCGATGGTTTGCACGAAGGAAATTGGCTGGCGACAGGATGCTCGACATCTTATTGTTTTCTCCACAGACGCCAGTTTCCATACCGCTGGAGATGGTAGAGTACGTAAACGCGGTTAAACGTAGATTGCTTTTTCTTCGTTCGAGTACTAAACACGATCGCGTTTCAGCTGGCGGGAATTATCGAACCCAACGATTGTCTCTGTCATTTGGACGAGAAAGGGTTCTACACGCACTCGCTTCTCCAAGATTATCCGTCCATATCTCAAGTATGCAACTTTCTATTTAGTCGATTAGACGTGCAAAGGCGAAGCATTCATTTACAGTTTTATTCTACTATCGAATGTAGATCAACAAAATAGCTCGCGAGCGTAATATCAACATCATATTCGCGGTAAAAAGCGACAGGAGAAAGACGTATGAATTGTTGAGCGAAAGCATCGGTGGCTCCTCTATCGAAACGATACGGAACAACTCTAAAAGCATAGTTGACCTTATCAGAGGAGAATACGAGGTATGAATTTACTAATCTTCCTAACTCTATTACGCGTTTCATAGATAAACGTAAGCTTGACAATTTGTTTAGAAACTGGTCAATTCCATAACAATGACGGATAATGCGCCGAAAATGATCGATGTGAAATACTACTCTCGATGTTTGGAGAAGAACGTGGAATTGAAAGAACGACAAAAATGCGGGGGATTACGAGTGGGCAACGTCGTCGAATTCGAAGTAACATTACAGGTACTTGCATAAATCGGACAAGTTCATCGGCATGCTGTAAGATTCTGTGTAATTTCGTCTTGCGAGATGCGAAATGTTCTTGCTGGTCGTAGGCGACCGAATGTCCAGCGAATTCCAGCGAATGGCAGACAAGTATGCAGATAAAGCCGAGAGGTATAGACGAGAGCTTGACGATCGAGCTGAGCATTATCTGCGATTGTCCTTGCGAACATTCAGGACATCCGGTAAGAATGACGATTGAGCGCGATTTCTCTCGTTTAAACTTGTCTCACGCGTCTCGAATGAAAATGTAGGGATACGTGGCAGCTTCGGAAGATTGCAGAGGAAACGGTACTTCGGTTTGCGGTGTATGTTCTTGCAACGAGGGCTTTTACGGGAAGCAGTGTGAATGCGAAGGGAACGATGCCGGCGCTGAGAGCGCAGCTGCCATGGCCGACTGCAAGCCTAACAACGAGACCACTGAGATTTGTAGCGGCCATGGAGACTGCAAGTGCGGTGTATGTGATTGCGCGAAGCGTCCTAATCCGCAAGAAGTTTTTTATGGGAAATATTGCGAGTGCGATAACTTTTCTTGCAAACGCAACGAGGGATTGGTAAGTGAACGCTTGCTTCAATGACACGTTGACTACGCTAGGTGATCGTTATGGACTTGTTAAATATAAACCTATAGACTCAATTGTACGAACAGTTGTATTCGAAGATTCGTCGACATTTAAACCATTATTTTTGACAACTGTTTTTTGATATGTGTCGTAATCGGTGAAGCGGCAACACTCTGGTGTTGCGTGCGAGATATGCAAAATACAAGGACAAAGATGGTTCTCAAGGGTTAGCGAAAGATATTTTAAGATACGAGAAGGATGACAGCTAAACGATTTCACGTACGGTGTAGAAATTGTACAATGAATACAGGCGTAATCAGAATCGGCAATCACCCAGCTCGTGTTATCAGCCACGGACCGAACGTATATTCGCGTATCGTAAACTCACTTCGGAATCGTTTATTCGTACGATGAAGTTGCTCGGGTAATTTCCCTTTTAAGGAAACCTGTACAGTACCTTTCAGGTAGACGGTAGATAAATTACACGCGTTTGCGTGTATTCTATTATTCCGACTGACGTTGTTGCGTTTAAGGTTTGCGGCGGGCGAGGCAAGTGCGAGTGCGGGACTTGCAATTGCTTTCCAGGATGGGGCGGCGAGACGTGCGATTGCAAAGAAACGAATAGCACATGCATACCAAGCAACGGTGAAACCATGGAGATTTGCAGTGGACGCGGGGACTGCATTTGCGGTAGCTGTCATTGTTATGAAAAAGACAACATTCGATATTCTGGACAGTACTGCGAAGAGTGTCCTGTAGGTTTCCTTCCGCTTCGAGAAAATCCGAATAATCACTTTGTTAGACAACGGTTACGAC